AGCTCAGACTTGTGATTCGCCTGACTCAGCCTCCAAAGACTGCTGGGATCATAGGATTATTCTAACACCAGCAGGCTAGCTAGAATAACTACTTTCAAAATGTATGTTAAAAAATTTAAGAAATAAATGTTGATAGTTCTTCAGCAAATTTGTATCATTTGTGTGAAATGATCAGGAACATCATCACTACCTCTAATGCAGCTGGAAAAATTGCACTTTCTTTTCTGTGGTTACACATCCGCCACTGAGTTTCTTGAGTAATTAAAATTCATTTCTTAAGATTTCATTAAACACGTGCTCTTGGAAACCTTGGTGTTGAAAGAAAAATTAGAGATGAGGGAAGAGCTCCAAAGCACATCTTTCCATAAAAAGTAATGAAAAAACTGTCAAAACAATCAGAATCCACTTTTTTTGACATTATGAAACATTTATTCAAGTGAAGAGTCACATCTCAGTAGAACACTGAGCTTTGTGGCATCTTAACTTACCCTTGTCCTACCTTCCAGATCAATGGTGACAATAATAACAATGACAAAGTTTATTGTGGTGACAGGATTTTTTTGCAAGTGAAAAATGTATTTCAAATAATAAAATAAGCTCAGTGTGCACCAAGATAAATGAGAGAACAAACAGTTGCAGCAGAAGCCTTCCAACAACCTCTCTATGGCCTATGGCAGGATTATTTAACCTTGAAGTCCAACTTATTGTTTTCCCAGTTTTCCACTGACCTTTGTGTCTGGTGGCCTCAAAGCCTTGGACTTTGTTTCTGGAGACCCTGGCATGACTGACCGGTAGACCAAATATATCTGTACCTCCTGCCTGGTGGGAACAAGCTGTCCTCCTTCACTATTTGTGTTCTCAAGCTCTTGACTTTATCAGCGAGTGCCCTGCTTACTGTCCTTGGAAGGGATATGTTCGTTGACACTTCATTGTAAAAAAAGTGAAGGAAAGAGACAGGCTACTGTGGTCATCTTTCTATGTAACCATGAGAACTCTGTCCTGGGCATGTGTGTCCCTGGCATGGTACAAGAGAAGAAAGCAAAAGAAAACCCAGGGAACCCACCACCTGCTGTTCCTCAGCTCCCACGGTGCTTAGCTGATCAGCCTTCTTCTCTAGTTCATGAGAACCTCTTATTTTTGTTGTTTATATAATGTCTAAGGTCTTTGGTTGCACTTTGCAAGAAAAATAAGGACAAACACTTCTGGAAACTGGAAAACATTATATTTGCAATATGCATATTAAAACTTATTATTTTCTATCAATACATACAGTCTTCTCATTATATCACTATAGCCTGTATCCTTCACCCCTTCCCAAACTCCTTGGAGGAAAGAACACCCAGAAGAAAATAAGCCCAACTACCAGTAAAAGAAGTCTCTAAGTGGAAGACTTGCAGTGATTTTCATTTATTTCCTTTTCTGTGTTTTCTATATTTTCTATAATAAACATGTATCCCTGTAAATAGCACATGGAAGTACAAGGCTATATGTAAACTGTTTCACTATGGTTAGGTAAAATCCTATTATGCTATGTGATTTTTGCTTGTAAAATTAAGCCTCTATGGGCCTTCTCTTTGCTTATGATAATAACCAATAAAATTTCAGTTTCTAATCTAAAATAATACAGCATTTCATAACTAATAAAAGGAATCTCAGAGATGTTCCATCTTTATTTTTTTTTTTATTGGTACCTGGAATCATCTCATCTCCTTTAATCAACAGAGGGAATATTAACCTTCTGCTTCAGGAATCCAGTTTGATAATGTGTTAAATGGAAGACTTTTATAAATGTCAATCTTATTTTCTAGGACAAAATAGAGATTTTGGACTGGAAATATAGCTCATTGGTAGAGCATCTTCCTAGCTTGCACAGAGCCTTGAGTTCAATCCCCAGTATCAAAAATAAAAATAAAAACCAAAACAGAGGTTTCATAATTGTTTATTAACTTGTTCTGTTAATATCAATTTGTCCTTGAAAGTAAAATCTGATTAAGGAGGTTTTGTAGAACTTTTAGAACTGCCAGAAAATTAACTTTAAAAGAAACTTATAATTTTATTTGGTTACCTTATTTCAAAATTTGTTACCTGAGCAGTAAGGTTACCCTTGTGTTACTGTGCAGTAGAAATACTTGCAAAATTACCTTGTCAAATGTGAAGTAAATCATTATTATAATGAATAATAATTATATGGAGGGAAAGTAGCCAGATCCCCTCAAAATATGCTGTATGACTTCATTTATATAAAACCTCAGAAAATGTGGCCCAAACTACAGTGAGATGAAGCAAATTAACAGCTGACTGGGGAAGGTGAACGGGGAGGCAGGAATAACAAAGGGCGTTCATTCTCTGGAGTAGTTCGTATGTTTATTATCTTGATTGTGGCTATGGTTTTGTTCAGATTAAGGTCATACAATTTAAATATGTGCACTTCATGTGTGTTTATATACCTCAATAAAGTGATCTTAAAAACATAAGGCCATGAATTGAAAATTATTTGCTGTACGTAGAATAGACAAAAAAATGTTTAAAACATTCAGACTATTATAAGTCAGGTAGAAAATTCCACTTGTAGCTGGGCATGGTGGCTCACACCTGTAATCCCAGCATTTGGGAGGCTGAGGCAGGAGGATCATTTTGAGTTCGAGACCAGCCTGGGCTACAAAGTGAGCTCAAGGCCTGCCTGAACTGCATAGATACCCTGTCTCAAAAAAAAAAAAAAAAAAAAATCCACTTGTGTGTATCTCAGAAAAACTCTTCTACCTACAAGTCATTTACATGTGTAGACACAGTTTTTAACAGCAAAAACCTGCAAATAACTCATATGTCCGTTGATAGTAGGGTAATTTTTGACATAATCATGTGATGGAACACCTTGTAGTCATCCATTAGCTGTAATTGTTCAGAGTGACAGGTTGGAACTTAGGGACAGTCTGTTGACTTAGTAAAAGATTAATTCAGTGATTCCACTGAAAGTTTAAAAATACAAAATTAATACAACTATGAAATAACAGGCACAATAAATTCAAGATCAGGGTGGTGATTGATGAGCCGGGTAGACAGTGTAATCAGACAGGCACCTACATGGTACTTCAGAATAATGGTACTAATTTATTCTTTCATCTGTAGGTACAATAGTGAACATCACATTATTATTCTTTATACCTTAACATCATATGTATCCTATTAAATTAAAAGTAAAGAAAAGATAAGCATCTGCCTATTAGTGACAGCCAGGAATAGCCCAGGAGGGCATCAAAGGCCAGACAGGTCTTGGAATAAAAGCTGGGAGTTGCTCCATCTCCCCGTGAGTATTTCTGAGGTCATCCTACTGGCAGAACTAACTCAGCAGACTGAGTCTTACTCTCTGTAAGCACCTAGTCATTCTGTGTTGCCCTCCGCCCCCACAGAATCACACCTATTCTAAATAGTTCATAGATCACCTGAGAAAAATTTACCAGTGGATTTATGGTGATTGAAAAATCATGATCTTCACACAAGGGTCTCAAGCCTTCTTCTTGCTTTCTCAATTGAGGGTGGGGTCCTGTTAATAACTAACGGAGATGATAGAGGGGAGGGCTTCTTTCCAGGGAAGATGTGATGGTAAGTGTGGTTAAGGGAGGGAGTAGCACGAGAAGACAAAGACTTTTATGGTTTTTAAGACTAAGAAGCCCTTAGTCTCTGTGTTATGGAGTTTTAGGGGTGAGGACGCATCTAAACACATTTCATTTATACTTTTCATTATGGCTCACTAGACTTTTCTTCCTCTTCTGAGGTTGCTAGGTCTTTCATATTATATCAGCTGCAAGGCTGAAGCGCCTCACTGCCTCTCCCCGCACCTCTAGGTTCCCTGGGGCCTCCTGCACAAAATCACGTGCTTCTCATATGGTGGAAAATTTATTTTAAATGTTTATTTTAGGCTCAGAAAGATCTGCTCTCTCTTGCCCATACACATCTTTTGATTTTTGCACAGCTGAATGCTTACATTGTCCCTCCCTCTGCCTGTAAGCAAGACTGCCTTTCCCCCAATTCTGATGGCTCATCTCCCTCCACACAGCATACTGAGGGCACAGTGGGTGCTATGACAGGGAAGGGGAGAGTGTGGGCACTGTGCAAAGAAGCAGCAGGGGGCCGGCCACTAAAGAGACGTCAATCAAACAGCAAACCTGTGAAAGAAAGCAGGGACAGTGGTTCCCTGGAGGCCAGCTGGAGCTGGAGAGAGATGCCATAGGCTCTGTATGGCCTTTTTTCCTGAGGGTTCTCAGGTTTCTTAAGCAATCTGATGCCTCCTGTCTCTAATTTCCTCAGGATCAGTGGCTTGAGCTTTGGCCATGAGCCTGAGCATTGGGTTTGCTGCTAGGGCCTCTGGAAATTTTTTTCCTTTGTTAGGTCCCAAGGGACTCCTATGGCCTTGTAGTCAGATTTCCACTGAGACTGAACAGCCTGTGTCACGCTGTAGAAACAGAGAGCTGACTCTAGAGAAATTTGTGCACAAATTTCTTCAGGTTTTGGATGGTCAGAACCTACTGGAAATAAATCTGATATCTGCCTTGGTGCCATTACCAACCATTCCCTGCTACATTCTCGTCATTAGAAACACAAAGTTTGGGGAGAGATGAGGCAGAGCCCTTGGATTCTCACCACTGGTTTCCCCAGTGCTTTTCTTCAAGCAATTTCCCATCTCCTATTCCCTCCCTACTCCTGTTTCCTGTTGCTTCACTGGTGACCTGGATGCTTGTTGCATTGGCTTTTCCCAGAATTCACAAAAAACCCAGCTGACTGTCAGACAGTTACATGCTTTGAAAGGGCTCTGAGCTCTGTGTATGTGTGTGTGTGATTCATGAACAATTAAGAGTTCTGTCATTTCATCTATAACCCTAAGAATGTATGCAGTGCTGGAATCAACCTGGCCAAATCTGAACAATGAAAGCCAATCACAAACTTGACAACAGGTGCATGGAGATGAGACAGTTAGAATTACTTCCTCTTTTCTAATTTGAGAGGTTTCATGTTGAAGAAAATCTGTGTGTTGGGGTACTAGGGACCTCAATGTAGTCGCCATGAAGCTGGGCTGTGGGCTCACAGCATGGGCCCTCTACATGTTCCCTGTTATGCTCTGGGCAGCCCAGATGTTACCAGGTAAGTAAGATGCTTGAATGTCAGTGTGGAAATATGCTTGGCTTTGGGGAAAGACCCAACAGGGAGAAACATGGACTGACTTTGTCTCGCCAAAGAGTCACTGTTCAAGGAGACAAAAAGTGAGGTATAAGAATGTGTGGTGTGCAAAACTGAATGGCTCTTTCTGAATATCAAAATCTTTAAGCCTTGTCCACCTGAAAAATTTCCTCCAACTGCAATACTTTCTGTAGCCACAATCTCAACTCTTACTTTTCTGATTCAGTTTCCTGAAAGCGTGCTCTGCTCTTGCTGACCCTACTTCTCATTCCTTGTTCCTCCTTCGGTGTTAACAGTCTGGCTTCCACTGGAGTCAGGTTTGCAAAGGGCACAATGACCTCCATACCCCTCCAGGTCTTTGACACTTTCTGCTCTTATCTTGCTGGACCTCTCTGCTGAACTGGGCATTGGTGATTGCTTTTTTTTTTCACTCTTGGTTTCACTGGCTCCCATGTCACCATTTTTTTTCTCTTGTACTACTTGTGTTTCTCATGGTCCCTTGGTAGCATCTCCTCTTCTCTTTAAGCGCTAGTATTCTCTATACCGTCTCTCCACTCTTCTTTCTTTTTACAGTGTCCTTCATAAGCTTATTGTTTGTATAAATTTTGCCAAAATAACTGTGTATGTAAGGGTCCTGAATTACATCTTCAGCCGTAACCATGCTTTTGACTTTCACCTTTGCATTCCAAGCTTTATACAGGCACGTCTGATTCCAGGTCTTACAGATAGCTCAGTGAAATGTGGTCAGAAAGGGACTCATCTGTAATCCCAACCTCTATCTCTTCTAATTTATTTTCACTATTTCTGAGCTCAGTCAATGGCAACAGCATCCAATTCAGCCTCCAGGCCAGAAACTTAAGAAATAACCTGGCCTCTTCCATTTTTTTTTTTTTCATTCTTTGCATCTGATTGAGCATCAAGTTTAGTATATTTTTACTTCCAGTGTTCACCGTAGAGCTACTCATTCCCTGAAACATCACTAACACTGTCCTAAGTCGTGTAACACATGTCCTAAGTGCAACAACTGCCTAACTAATCTTCTGTCAGCCTGGTGTCCTTAGAATGAATTCTGTGCTCTGTAGCCTGAGTTCCAAAAGTCAGGCTCCCAGCCCAAACTCCTATCATTGCACACAAAGGCCACTCAAACCTGGCACCTATTAAGCTTCTTCAGTGTCTACTGCCACCTTCTAAGCCTCATGACTTATGCTCTGATGAACCTTAATCAGCTTACATTTACACCTTCACATTCTAGACACTTGTCTGTCTCCAAAGTTTTGCTTATCTTCTACTTCTGCCTGAGATGAGCTTCTTCACTGTTCCCCATTCCCTTCCCTTAAAGACCTCTCAGTATCCTTAAGGATCTAACATCAGTGGCATCTCCTCCAAGTGGCCTTTGTTAACCCTCCCCCCACCCACCTTGGCTGCCTGTGGTATCTCTCTTCATGTTGAAATAATCTTTTCCCATACCTGTGTCTTCCACTATACTGACAGCTATTTATGGGCAGAGACCATTTTAGTTTGTGGCAAGAACTGTAGACTTGGAATTAGGCATTCTCATTTCAAATCCCTCTTCAAGTTACTTGTTCTATGTCTCTTTGAAAAAGTCACTCTTAATATTTATAAATTCAGTCTTCTCATTTGTGAAGCATAAAGCTTGCAGAATTAAAAAAGTGCTGGTGGCCCATAAGAGTTTATTTTTAAAAAGGAAATAAGGCAGAGCCCAGGTGAGTGACAGTGGGGGAACTGAGAAGATGCAGCAGAGTAGTGAATAGAGCCAAGAGAAGAGCTAGAGAAAACACCTGGTATGACATGGTGAGAATGGGGAAGTAGAGGGAGACTTGGTAAGAGGAGTGACAAAGTCAAAGAAGGGTCTCACGGCAAAGGGAGTGGCAGAAGACAGAGGCAGTGGGACAGGACAGTGAAGAACTGAGCCCCAATGAATGGCTAGGTGGCCGGAAGAAGGTGAAAGGGACCGAGGGTGACAAGGAGCAGTTGCAGAGAAGGGAGAAGTGACATTTTCCTAGCTTGGGTCAATCATGAAGTCAGGTGACAGGTGGAGGAGATATGGTGGGAAATCTATAGCTCTATATTTCAGCACAGAGGCCCAGAACTGTTCCATAGTTATCATACAGTGAGGGGATAGAGGAGAGGATGGAGACAGGGCTGTCACTGCTAGGGAAAGCTCAAGGGGTGGAGGGCATCTGTTCAGATCACTGAAAACTGAAGCCCTGATGGGACAGCAAAGGGGAGGAGAGACATAGTGAAGTACTGAGAGCTCCTTCCTAGATGACTACTCTAGATTGAAGAGCCATGTGAGCTTTGGACAAGTAAAAACGTGGAAGAAGGTCCACACAGGACCTCGGAGGACTGATGCAGGCAGACTTTGAGCTCAGACACACCTCCCTCTCTTGCTCCATTCTTTATTCTGTTTTGAAACTTTAGATGTTTAAATGTCCTTTTTAAAGGCTGTTGCTTTAAAATTTACAAAATGGAGATGAATTACATACCTGGAAAGCTTGTGAAGATAACCTCAGACAATACACAAAAGTGCTGACAGTTGTAGTTCACGGTAAGCAACCCGTGGATGTTAGACTCTGATGTCTATTTTTCCCTCTTTCTATGCCTGCTGGTCTGGGGTCACGGCTGTCTTTGACCTCTGATTTCCTGCGCCAACAGGTGGATGTCATGCTGGTGAGTTCACCCTTCCTTCACTCTCTTCCTTTCCCCTTCCCTAAACCGCAGTCCTTTCCCTGATAGTGCCTGGCCACCAGCAAGCCAAGGCCAAAAGCATCCTCCTGAGAGACCCAGAGGGCTCTTGTGGGGTGATGTATTTGATATCTTCCTTTTCTTGCTCTGAAAGGATGATTCCCCCTGGAGAGAAAATAAACCCTCGCAGAGGGTCATTTCTTGTCCTTTTTCTAAGCTCCAGCATCGTTTTCTGGCTGCCCCTCATCCATGCCCTCTTCAGCTGCCGTCCTGGAGATTGTGCAGTGTGAAGGGTCTGTCAGCACCAAGGAGAGCAGCTGCCACACCAGTGATGATGTGACGGTGACGGGCACAGAGGACGCTGGCTTTCAGGTCAAGGGCTACACATTCAGCGAACCCTTCCATCTGATCGTGTCCTATGGTGAGGTCCTGGGAAAGCCTAAGTGTCCCAACCCCTTTTTTAGCACCACCGCTGGCCCTGAAAAGTGCCCTCAGGAAACTGACCACGGGTTGAGGTACTTTCTTCCCCATCTCCATCCCGCCCCCCCCTGCAGTCAGGATGCCTTCAGTCTTAGGCCTTAGAGAATTACTTCTATATTCAAAACTGGGTCAGCCTTGGAGGTCAGAGGGAGGTGGTGAGAAACATACAGTTATACCTTGGTTGTTGAATGGCTCCATGCTCGCACTTTCCACTACTCAAAGAGCAAAGTTTGAAAAACAAATCTGCTCAGTGTTTGTAACTCTGCTCATAGCTGAACTGAAAATCCAACTCAAAAAAACCTGTAAGGGCTGGGAGTCATGCATTGCATCTCACCACAGACACAGGGGGATGACAGTTCCATCTAAGTGGGCTCACACCCAGCCAACAGATGGTATTTGTGTTGGTGCATTGAAACATGTGTGCTTTTTTTTTTTCGCATTTTATTTGCGTAAAATATCGTAACCACAACGCCAAAGTATGTTGACGATGCCAGCACTAAAGCATAGAACTACTATAGAGTTAGAACTACTATAGAGTTGAAGAAAGATATTGTAAAATTTGTTAAAGTCCTGGGAAAATGAACTTATAAGTATAATTTTGAGGCCTCAGAATGAATCATTTGCTTTTCCATTATTTCTTACTTGGGAAAAATATGTTCAGTTCTCGAACTTTTTGGTGTTCCAACACTAATTTGGAACAAATTGAGTTCAACAACCAAGGCATCACTGTGTAACTCTAAGTTTCTTTTTCCTTTTTAAAATTCTTTGAAATAGGGTCTCACTATGTAGTTCAGGCTGGCCTTTAACTCGCTGCCATCCCCCTGCCTCAGCCTCCTGAGTGCTGAGATTATAGGCATGCACTGCCACACCTGGCTCATAATTCTTAAATTTCAACCTGGAGGCAAAAATTATATTATGGTTACAAGTTCTATCTGGGAGTAGGGGTCAAGGGAAAGCAAGGGGCAGACAACTTTGATTTTGCTAAGAAAAGTTCAAGGGACAGAGGGCAGGGTGGCAGAGCACTAAGAAGTAAGAGTTACCCGACCTTTGGAGAAGTCTAGGTGTCTGTTGTGGGCATCACATGGAGAGGTCCCAAGGCAGACAGTGGTTGATACCTAGCTCTTGCTCTTGATCACAGACTGGCTGATCCTCCAAGGGCCAGCTGCCCCCATATTTGAAGGGGATCCACTAGTTCTACGCTGTCGGGCCTGGCAAGACTGGCCACTGACTGAAGTCACATTCTACCGAGATGGCTCAGCCCTGAGCCCCCCTGGACCTAACAGAGACTTCTCCATACCTGTGGTACAAAAGACAGACAGCGGGCACTACCACTGCAGTGGCATCTTCAGGAGCCCAGGTCCTGGAAGCCCAGAGACAGCATCTCCCATAACTGTCACAGTCCAAGGTAAGAGCTAGAGGTCATGCTGCTCTGGTGGAATTGGGTAACCAGGGACTGGGTGCCCAGAACTGTCTTCGTTGGAACTGCAGTGGAAAGATTGTTAAAGCCTTAAGGTGCAGGCAGTATCTCAGCATTGCCCTTCAAGTCATTAGCCCTGTGCAGAGTTCAGTGAGTTGCCTGCCACCCACATCTACACTTTCTGGTACTTGCAGTTTGGGTGTCTGGATTATTGTCAGATTTGCCCATCTCTGGCTCTTTTCTAGTCCTGAATACCGAGAGAGACAGAGAGACAGAGAGAGAGAGAGAGAGAGAGAGAGAGAGAGAGAGAGAGAGAGAGAGAGAGAATGAGCTTGAAAAATACCAATGAACCTTTCTAAGCCCATTCCTGATGGAAATCGGAAAGGAAGTACTGATGCTTTGCCTCCTGTGGGACTCTGAGTATAAGATTGCTGATCTCTCTTGCCTGTGTTTCTCCCAGAACTTTTTCCAGCCCCAGTTCTCAGAGCCTCACCCTCAGCTGAGCTTCAAGAGGGAAGCCCAGTAACTCTGAACTGTCAGACAAAGCTGACCCCGCAGAGGTCAGCCAGCCGCCTCCTCTTCTCCTTCTACAAGGATGGGAAGACAGTGCGCAGCAGGGCTCTGTCCTCGGAATTCCAGATCCCCACAGCTTCAGTAGAGCACTCTGGGTCCTACTGGTGTGAGGCAGCCACAGAGGACAGCCAAGTTTGGAAACACAGCCCCCAGCTGGAGGTCAGGGTGCAGGGTAAGTTCCTGCATTTGGTGTGGGTATGGGTGTGCACATGAAACCGTGAAAGGGGAGACAGGATGACTGAACCCATGAGCTTGTGTTCAGTGAAAGAAAGGGAAGAAAGGGCATAGAAGAACCAGGAACAAGAATCTAGGGTCCTTGATGAAAAAAGCATCAATAGAGAACAGCTCTCTTAGACTATAGTGCATATACCACAGGACCAAGACCCAAGCCAGCCCTATACTGACTGCCCCACAGAATTTAGGATCCCTACATTCCCTTAGGATACCTACATTTATTCTTATAAAACCTCTGGGGTTTTATAAAAATATTATATCTAGAATTAGGGACAGCATTTGTGGTAAATTCTTGGAGTTGACATTAAGAAAGTTGTACTTGACCTTAAACACACCTACAGGAATTGTCCAGGGTAATGAGGCTTGAAGCCATGTCAGGAAGCCGTGTCATAATGGAAGGGCCTACAGGTGCTCATTCTGGATAGGAGGTTGCTCAGGGGACTGGCATGGATGCCTTCAAAAAGCTGAAGGCTAGCACAGGGATGAGGAATTAGGCTAATGTCATATACGATGAAGTTGACCGATGACCAGTTAAATTGTCTTATAAGAGGAGGAATTGGTTAATAGTGATAGTTTTATAATGCTGAGTTTAATCACTAGAGAACAGGTAGCCAAGCTCTTGGGTTAGGAGAGCCACTGGGGTCCTCAAGTCCCGCTGCCTTTAGGCCTCACAGCAACTTTCAGAGAACAAGAAAGACTGACATGATGGTAGGCTCAGAGTGCAACACCACTCTTACGTGTGTCTCCTGATACCATCCAGGTCCCCCCAGCTCTCCTGCATCTCCAACCTCGAACCCAACTTCTCAGAAATCAGCTGGTCCAGAAACAAGTTCTACAGAACCTCCCAGGCCTGTGCCTCCAGTAGCACCCCCAACTTCTGAGCCCCCAGTCTTTTCCTCTCCAGATCCTCACCTGCATTACCAGATGGGAATTCTCCTCAAACATATGCAGGATGTACGCATTCTTCTTGGTCACCTGGTCATGGAGCTGAGGGACTTGTCTGGCCGCCTGAAACCTGAGACTGCAAAGGCTCCTGCCAAATGAAAACCCTTGTCCATGATGGGGCTCAGCTGCTCTCCATAAATCCAACTGTATTGCTCTCTTTCTGTCCTGCACATAAGCCTGAATAGTTTTACAAGTTGTCCCAGTATCTTGTTAGAATAATGGATGAAGCAGGTGAGTATAAATAAATGTGTACAAAGTGATAGTTGGAGTTCAGTTCTAACTTGTGTTCTCTGAACATGACAAAATAAATCTGCTCTGTCTGGACCAAGAATTTGCTTTCATTGCCCCCACCAAAATCTGGTGATTGAAAGAGAAGTCATGCAAGTGGATTTAACACAGCAATATTCCCTGGGGCAACTTAGTCCTCACATGCCTACGCTCCTGGCATGTTGTAAAAGAAGCCAAGGATGCTGCTAACTCTCCTATAAAAGTACAGAACAGTCCCTCCCCCAACGAAAGGTTATCTATCTCAAATGTCAGTGATGCCCAAGTTGAGAAATCCCATCCTAACAGAGGAGACTGCGTATGTTCAGGGTGGAATGGCCGAGAGGGGAACCCCACCCTAATGAAGCTGATGTTAAGTTCTGGTGACAGCCTTTGCTACTCTAGTCATTACTCTCCCTTCCCAGCTTCCTTCAGTCAGTGTTAATCACATGCTAGTATTTAGATGGTGCAATGGTCTGAGTATTGGTTTTCCCTTAAAATTCATATGTTGACATTCTAACCCATAAGGTGTTGGTGTTAAGAAATGGGGATTTTGGCAAGTGATTATATCATGAGGACAGAGCCCCTATGATTAGGATTGGTGCCCTTATAGAAGAGATCACCCATAGCTAGGCTGCTCTTCTGCTATGGGAGGATGCAGCAAGAAAGTAATGTCTCTGAATTAGAAATTAAGCCCTCATAGACACCAAATTTGTTTGTGCAACTTAATCTTGGACTTCTCACAGTCTCTGCAGCTGTGAGAACTAATTTCTCACCCAGTGAGGGCCAGGCTGGCAAACCCTGCAGTAATCTTTGGTTAACGAATTAGCATACAATGTTATAATGGCCTCCTCCAGTGAATGTTTTACATCCTGAATTATGCAATGATGTCTCCCACTGTGGCCTTCTTTTGTGCCATTTCTTTTGTCTTTCTTTCTTTTGTGGTGCTTGGGATTGAACCTGGGGCCTTATGAATATATGCATTACCCTTAGCCCCACATTAAGACTTGCTGTTAGGGGGAGTAAAAGAGAGGATGGATATGGCAAAAACATATCACATGTATGCATGAAAATAGCACATTGAAGTCCAATGTATTGTAAAATTAAAATGCACTAATAAAAATGTATTTTAAAAAGTAGATATGGTGGCCGGGCGTGGTGGCTCATGCCTATAATCCCAGCACTCGGGAAGCTGAGGCAGGAGGATCATTGTGAGTTCCAGACCAGCATGGGCTACAAAGTGAGCTCAAGGCCAGCCTGAACTGCATAGAGAGACCCTGTCTCAAAAAGACAAAAAAGTGGGCTGGGGATTTAGCTCAGTGGCATAAGTGCCTGCCTTCCAAGCAGGCAGTCGTGAGTTCGATCCCTGGTACCGATTAAAAAAAAAAAAAAAAAAGTAGATATGGTGGTACACAGCTATAAACAAAAGTATCTTCTCCCATGAAGAGAAATTGTACATGCTTGAATCCCAGCACTCAAGAGGCAGAGGCAGGAGGATTGCTGTGTGTGCCAGGTCAGTCTGAACTACATAGTGAGAATTTAAAAAAAAAACTGTAAAAAGATTTTTCCACTGTTTACTTAAGAAAGTTTTGTCTCAGGGGAGAATGAAGGAACAGAAACAGCAAAGCAACCAGAAACAAACACTTAGACCAAATCGCCAGCTGGCTAAGTGAACAAATGTGATGTGATGCTCTAAACAGCTACAAAATAATCAGCCCACCTTGGGGTACTGGACTGAGAGGCCAGGGGCCTAGGGAAAGATCTTGAAAGACAGTTCACTATCTTGACTCTAATGAGATTGAGTCACTCTCAATTAAATGCAAACGGAAAAATAGCACATACTTTAAAAAGTTTAAAATCTTACAGAAATGAAAAACTAATATCTACCAAAAAAGAACAAAAACTTTTGAAACAAAAACAACCAGGAGTCATACATTATAGTGCAAACATGGACAAATTTTAAGAGCCACAGAAATAGAACCAGTCCTGAAAATGATACAGAAATAGCATCAGGAAACCTGAATCACAAAGACATGAATCTTTTAAGGAGGTAACCTTGGGTTCCTAAGGAATGTGCACTTTGACAAGAAGCACAAAAAAAAAGGGGGCTAAAAAAATGCAGGCAAACTAAGTTAAGGCCATCGGTGTGCATGCCAAGGCTATGAAGGCTGTTATAAAGCCCAAGAAAAATAAGTCCAAGATCCCAAAGAGTATCAGCAACAAACTCCATCAACTGGCCTGCATCACTCACCCAAGCGAAGAAAGCATGCTTATGCTCACAATGCCAAAAGCAACTCTGCTAGCCGAGGCCAAGTCTGCATCTCTGACTTTGGGTCCAGCTTGGGTTTGCTCCTCAGGGTGTCCAGATGCCCAGTGTACAAAAGCTCCTTAGTAAAAACCTCTGGCTGCCAATGTGAAGATAGAAGGACTGGAATGACACCTGGGCTGCTGTCTGCCCGGGGCTGGTGTCCTCCTGTGCTCTTTGTACAAATAATCTGATACAGGAAAAAAGAAACAATAACAAAAAACCAAAACAACCAGGAAAACATGGCAACAGTATAGGGAGATATGAAAAATGATGAATTAAAAAATTAATAATACAATATATTGAACAAAAATGCAATCAAGGATATAAGCTATATATTGAACACTATTTAAAAGAGAATTAGAGTCTGGCATGGTGGGGCACACCTGTGATTCTAGCACTTGGGGAAGCTGAACCAGGAGCATGGGCCCAGCATGAGCCCAGCCTGGGCAGCTTAGCAATTTGCAAGTGTGTCTTGAAAAACGACAGGGATGTAGCTCATTGCAAAGGCCCTGGATTAAGTCATCAGGAAAGGAAGAAAGGAAAGAGAGGGAAAATGGAGAGAGGGAGAAGGAGAAGGACAGGGAGAGAGGGAGGGAGACTGAGAGGGAGAAGTGGGGGGGGGGAGATATTTATCTTTGGTTGACTCGTTCCAAGGCAGATGAAAGGGTGTAGCAAGGGAAAGCTGCTCAGCTCATGGCATTGGGAAAGCAGAAACCTGGGGAAGAATGCCAGACTTGGGGCCCAACTTCCCCAAGGTCATGCCCCAATGACTCACTTCCTTCAACTAGCTCTCACCTCCTAATAACCTGCTCAGTCCTTTACTACTGAACCACATCCCCAGTGCTTTTTATTTTTTATTTTGAGACAGGGTCTCATAAGTTGCCCAGGCTGGCCTTGAACTTGCCACTCTCCTGTCTAACATGTCTAAGATGCTAGGAGAAACTGGGCCCAACTAGACTTTCTCTAGCCTGCAAACACGTACTTAGCATGTGTTCTATCTACCACATACAAATAATGTTTGGGGATGACAAAATGCTATGAAGAGAAATCAAGCAAAATACTGAGCCAGACAAGCAACAATTGTGAGGTAGTACTGGCTCAGCCACATTTCCTGTGGCTGAGGTAAAATCCCCAACACCCACAAAATCCCCAAAACTTACAGTTAGTTCACAATCCATTACTTCCTAGGTAGGAACAGAATGGTGGGAGGCAAGACAGAGGAAACCTGCTCAAGTCATGGCAGCCAAGAGGCAGAGAGAGAAGGGAGAAGCGGGAGAGCAGAACACACCCTTCAAGATCACACACTGAGTGACCCCTCTCCTACCTCCCAATAGCACGTTCAGGTATGAACTCATCAACAGATGAATCCACTGATGACTATAGCATCCCTAATCATCTTCCACACACAGGAGACTTGGGGGTGCATTTTAGAGCTAAACCATAACAAATGGTATTTTGAAAAATTTTATTGGTACATTTTAGATACACATAATAATAACATGTATCATAGAGAATTTGTATCTGTATGTAATTTATCTTGCTTTCTTTTTTTCCCATTTCCCTCCCCTCCCTTTAGCCCGTCATCCGCTCCTTATTCATCATGACCAGTTCTTTGCTCAGGACAGAAATAACCTAGAAACTTCCAAAGGTGATTCTAGTACCCTTATATCCTATAACAGCCTCATTAACCTCTGTGCTGAGTCCTGTCCTAAGCCCTTCACATATAGTACTATAGTTCATTCAGCCTTCATTATACACACTAAGAATTAGTTCACTGTGGCACTGTCTATGGAAGGGGATGAAAGGCCAGCAACCATTATGTAGACAAAGGCCAGTATAAAGGAAACACACGTTGGAATATTAGGACAGACAGAGCAATAAATGAGATGCATGTAGAGCAATATGAATGAATCTTAAGCACAGAGGAGTCACTTTAAAAGTATAAAGAAGCCATGTCTATAATCCCAGAACTCTGATAGGCTGAGATAGGAAGATGGCAAGTATAAACCCAGCCCGAATGACTTAGAAAGAATCTATCTCAAAATTTAAAAAAAAAAATTAAAATGTCTAGGGATGTGGCACAGTGCCCTGGGTTAAATACCTAATACCACCAGCAATAAAAAAGAGAGAAAATAATATCTAGATCACTATGTCATTTATGTAAATTAATAATACTAAAATTTTTCCAGGAGGAATGAATGCACATATTCAAGGACACACTTAAACACTATATGGATACGGTGGATGCTTATGTGGAGGGGAGAAGAATGACAGTGTAGAAGATAGAGGAATAAGAAAACAAGAGAAAGGCCTTGAAAGGCAGACAGCATGCCCTGAGCAGCACCTTGAATCCATGACAAGAGAGATAAGAAAGCAGATTCTGGAGATTCAGTCACCCTGAATTCTCAGATGTAAAATAAAGATAATAATAATCCTCCCCTGAAGGGCTGTGTGAGGGTTAAATGAAGTCATACCCTTGCAGCACTCAGCATGGTGTCTGCCACATACCAGGACATGAAACTCATGACCATCACAGTGAGCTGGTATCATTATCATGGCTACAGCAGAATTATTCTATTATCGCTATCATCACAGGATGCCTTTTATTTACCAGAATCCTTATCAATGATGACATATCTTTTCCTGGAAGTTATGCTGTGATAGGCTTCAAAGAATTCCTCATGTACCAATAATTGCTGACTTTCTCAACACAGTAAAGCAGTAAAGAGTTAACACTCTGGTAGGTGTGCAGTGCATGGCGGTCCACACCTGTAACCCCAGCATTTGGGAGGCTCAGGCAGGGACACTGCAGGGAATTCGAGGCCAGCTTGGGCTATGTAGTGAGTTCTAGGGCACAGTGAGACTTTGTCTGAATAAATAAATAACCATCCCTCCTCCACCAAAATTCCCAAAACATTTTGTTAAGGAAAAGTTCTGGATGGAGAAGAAGATGCAATTTGGGGGAAATTCTGAGGAAGCCTAGAATATAAAGAAATGTTGGACATGATATTTCTCAAGTCAAATCCTGAGCTCTGTAAGATAATGAATTTTAAAATAGATTCCTGAGATTTTCAGGGCAGACTATATTGCATTTGAATTTATGGCCTGGGCAAATTTCTTCCCGAGTTCAGTAAAGGGCCTGAAATCTGTGTTCCTAGTGATGAGAAGCCAAACTAGAATTCATCTGTACAGACTAAGAGACCACCACCAGTTGCATGGCATTCTTAGGGTGGTCTCATGCAGAAGTCACACCAGGAGGTCAGTGGGGAGGCTGTGGATGACGTAGGGAGCCCCCCCACCTGCCCCAAAATGAGCAATCAGGCAGAGTGTGGGAAAACACAGAAGCAATGCTCAGCCTGGCCACTCCCTAAAGCAGATGGCAGATCATCTCTGCTCCTGGTGACTAGCTCTTTTCCTCCTCCACTCCTGGGCACCTTATCCAAAGCTTCTCTATCTTTAAGACTTACATAGCTATCTCTCCTAACCACCTCTCAAAGAAGCATGTGAGTGGCCTGCATAATTTAAATAACCAATGGCTTTTCCTCAGAGTCATTTGCATTTTTAAAGGGGTCTAGCATATTAAGTAAGCTAAGCTATAAGAGAATTCAAAGTGGAACGTTGGCCGCCAGCATAAGAGGAGGAAGTTGTTTGGAGACATGACCACATCTGATAATTGACCTCTTGCTAGAGCTCCAACTGAAGCAGGTGCCCTGGTTCTCAAGCAGCCACAGGTGAGGACAGAAGAGAGTTCAAGGAGACATGCTATCAGGTTGGAAACTTTGTTAAGTATTTATGTGAAAATTTGGGCTCTTCATTGCTCAGGTCTGGTCACATGGCTGAAACAGCACAAGCAGTAGGGCCAAGAGTTGGAGCTGAGGAATTTCTGAGGGGCTGATTCAGTGACTTTCTGCTGCAGGTCAGGAGCTGGAGGACTAGGGTGTGGTTGGGAGGGGTTGTAGGGCTCTGCAGAAGGAGAAAAGAAAAGAATAAAGGAGAAGAGGTATCACGAGGCGAGATCATTGCGGTGAGTAGGAAACACATTTTTTTTAACTTTTGAGGGTTTAAGATTTCGGGAAGTGGGGAAGAAAGGGAAGCACATCACGATTATCTTTGGGGACCAGGAGGGTGGGGACATAGAAGAGTGGTTGGTGAGTCATACCTTTCTGTTCACTCTTCAGTGGAAGAAGGTCAGCTTTGGGCAGGGGGCTTAGCACTGATCTCGCGAGGCCTCGCACCAGCCTTCAGGGAATGAGCAAAGTCAGCCTTGTGGAGGTGAAGGTGTGTCCCCTTCACCTGAGGCTTCCAGGGTTAGCCGGTAGAAAGGAGATGGAGTGGAAATGGGCTGCCCACGAGAGGCTGAAGACGGCAGGGTCAGCTGTGGCAGCCTGGAGATCTACATGGCTCTCTTGTGCTGAAGAGAGCACAAGCTCAGCAGGCCCCACAGGAGTCAGCGCTGGCCTGAGCTGGACTTGGCTACCAGGCTGGCAGACAGGACAGTGCCTGATGCTTGGGATTCCTTGAGGCCAACATATATTCAGCCTGTCTCCTGCTCTCTCCAGTCTTCAGGAACTAGGAATGGGTGGGAGACTCAACAGGGTTTCCTGGTACTCAGTTAGCCACTGGCCACCTTCTTTCTCTCTGCCCCAACACCCTACCAGCACGTCTTCATCTTCCCCAGTTGCTCCAGGCAGATCCATCATGTGGGCACTGATGGCCTTGCTGCTTCTGGGTGAGTTCTCTATGAGGTGGTAGCATCAGCAGGACTTTGGGTGAGGGAGGATAGAGCAGGCAGGACAGGTGTGTGGAGTAGGGGAGGTGGCTATTCCAACCTCAGGTTCCAAATGGTGCCATATCTGTTTTTGGAGAGGTAAAGAGAGGGAGCTTTATCAGAGCTGGGGTGACCAGAGACAAAAAAAGAAAACAGAATTTAAGACCATTCACTCTTTCGCATGAGCCTCAGGGATTGGGATTGTTTCAACTCCAACATTTCCCTCCTTCCTTCTGTCTTGTTTTATAGCTCCAAGCACTGGTCAAGCTGGTGAGTGTCACGTATCTCCCATCTCACTTTTTTGTTGTTACAATTTCTACCCTAATGCCCTCTTAAGTGATCCTGCTAAGTAGATACTCTACTATTTGACTGTTCTAGGATAGCACATTTTCCTCAGTCCCTGGCACCGTTTGTCAGCCCTCAGAAATGAGTGTTGACTGGTGGGCTGATAGCTTGTAGCTCAATGAATGCAATCTCCTCTCCTGCTGGGGCCTGGACCCTGGGGCTTTCTAAGACTTTGGAACCTTAGGCTATATGTTTGAGCACCTTACCTTGGTTCTCTTTCCCACATCACCTCCCCCAACACACTGCAGCCACCCTGGAAAAGCCTGTATTGTCTCTACACCCACCTTGGACCACAATCTTCAAAGGCGAGCGGGTAACCTTACGATGTGATGGACATTATCCTCTGCTCCTGGAGCTGCGACCCATCAACACTCTCTGGTATTTGGGCCACCTACTTTTGCCCTCCCACAAGAAGAGCATTGAGGTACAGACACCAGGGGTATATCGATGCCAGACACGGGGAGCACCTGTCAGCGACCCCATCCACCTCTCTGTATCTAATGGTGAGTGGAGAAGAGGAGAAGTGGACATGAGAGACCTTTGATGATACTGGGCCTCCTATGGGGGAGGATAATGGACCATTTCCAAAGGGCAGGAGCCTGGGGCTATTCTGAGGCCTATCCTGAGTCTCTGGAGTAGGCAGAGGGCTGCATGATGCTGTGTGAGAGAAGAAGTAAAGTTTGCCAGTCCCAAAGGTCCCTGTCACTCTCACAGAGTGAGGCAAACATGTCTGTTTGTTTCTTGGATCTGCTCAGAAGTCTAACAGCTCTGAGGACCTGGGTTACTGGACAGAGAACCCCAGAGGATGGGCAGGAAGGCACAGAGCAGAACAGGAAAAATGAGTGTCCCTGGGTGGGTGGGTGGAGCACAGCAAGAGGAGTTATTCCTGACAGGTAATGCTGAGGTTCTGTGTGTAATAGGTGATGCTGAGGGACTGTGTGTGACAGTGTCCATACCACTAACAGGGGGACAGTGTGGCATCATCTGCAATTCCTGCACTTGGAAGGCCATGGAGGACGGCTGCAAGATCAGGCCGGCCTGGGCTACATAGTGAGACCTTATCTCATTTGATTAAAAATTTATTACAGACATGTAGACATGCCACCCAGGAAGACTGACTGAAACTGACTCTGGAGATATTTGAAGGGTTTCAAAATAGGATAAGAAAAATAATCATTGTTAATTAAGGTAAAGAATTGGCACCTTCATGGACAATATATAATTTTAGCTTCGTAGGTCACAATTTGTATTCAGAATTTAAGAGACATTGTTCAGCATTCATGTCAGCACTTACAGTCATCCTGAGTTTTCTGGTTTGGGAACTGTTAGTGACAGCAGTGATGCTGACTGTGACAGACTGTCGTTACTATTTAGGGTCTGAGAGTAATCTATGGCTTATGGCACTTCTTTATGGAATTCTCTTTCAATGTGTAATTTCCAAAATGGTGCCTGGTGTGTGCTAGGGCTAGTACGGGTTAGCTATGATCATGATGGGATTGGGTAAACTCATGATACTATTGGCCTTATCTAAGACTGTCTGGAGAGTGTCTGGGAAGTCTTATTCTATAGAAAAAGTCAAAACATAGATGTGCAGGACAAGTAGGCCTCAACTTAAAAATGAAGGAGGGTCCTCTCTGCTGTGGAAATAGCAGATGCAAAGGCCCAGGGATCAGAGCAGGGCCAGTTATCCCTGCAGTTTCTGTCCCTGCAACCTGTGTTAAGTGAACAATGAAAAACGTAGAGAAGGTAGGGTGGGCAGGAGAAAATACTGAGAAGGTATTGGAAAGGAGAGAGGCCAGGACCAGGAAGGCTCTGAAGCCACCCAGGGGAGTTTAAATTTGAAGCTGCACATGGTAATGTAGGCCTATAATCCCAGCACTAGAATGGCTGAGGCAGGAGGACTCTTTGACTTTGAGGCCAGTTTGGGCTACATACTGAGTTCAAAGCCAGCCTGAGTACTGCATAGGGAGACCTTGTCTCAAAAATAAATAAATAAATAAATAAATAAATAAGTTTAAACTTGATTCTGCTCTAAGAATGGCACCCCGTCTGGGGCATCTTTGCCTCCCTGTTACCTACGGAAAGCCTTTCTTTCTGGCCACTCAGAGCTTTCTGCACTAGACTCCTGGACGGCTCTGGAGAGAAGGAGTGAGGAGAAGGGGCGGGAGAGCTGCTATGGGGGAAGCAGGGTGTCTGAGAATGGGAGAGCTTCGCGACTGGAAGTTCCGCGGAGTGAGCCGCGCTGCCTGTGGGTTGCAGACTGGCTGATCCTGCAGGTGCCCTACACTGCGGTGTTTGAGGGCGAGCCGCTGATCCTGCGCTGCCGCGGCTGGTACGACAAGGTGGTCTACAAGCTGCACTACTACCACGACGGCCAGGCGGTGCGTTATTTCCACTCTAGCACCAACTACACTGTGGTGCAGGCGCGCTCCAGCGACAGTGGGCGCTACCAGTGCTCGGGCACCATGCGCATCCCGGTGGAGAGCGCGCCCATGTTCTCCGCCAAGGTGGCCGTGACTGTGCAAGGTAAGGGAAGTCTGGGGACGACGCAGAGCACTGGGAAACTACGGGACCGCAAACAGGCGGAGAAAGGAGGGCGGGGACTATGGCAGCTGCTACTTGGCGGATTTCTCTACAGGAAGGAGTGCTTTCTCAGCAGCATGCCCTTAAGCTAGTGTCCCTTCGACACGACACGCACCTTGGCTTCTTGTTCTGCCTGGACACCCCACATAAAGGCAGCTCTGCCTACAGCCCCAGTCAGGAGGGCAGACGCAGGGGTAGGGGCGCTTGGAATCGTGCCCTTCTAGGCTAGGGGATCCGAGCTGGGCCGGGTCAGTTGGGATGTCAGGTGTGGCGCCTGACCTGGTCCCGCCTCCCTTCATACTCGTGATCCCTCGTGGACCCGGCCCTCCGGCCTCGTATTTCAGAAGGGTTTCCTCCCTCTTCCACGTGCACGCAGCCGCTCCCACCCTCCTTTGAGTCTCTGGGTGGACACGGAGTCCTTGTGGGGTAAGGGAATGCGCGGGGTAGGGCGGGCCCGTTAGTCCTGCCCCTTATGCGGACCCAATAGACGTCCTCGGCCTCTGTGATCTCTTCGATCTCTTTGATCTCTTTGCAGAATTGTTCCAGACGCCGGCGCTCAGGGTGCTGCGCCCCCAGGAGGTCCGCGGGGCCGCTCCCCGCGGGGTGACCCTGCGCTGCGAGACGCGCCTGCACCCGCAAAAGCGTGACACGCCGCTGCAGTTCGCTTTCTACAAGTACAGTCGCGCCGTGCGCCGCTTCGACTGGGCCGCAGAGTACACGGTCCCGGAGCCCGAGGTCGAGGAGCTCGAAGCCTACTGGTGTGAGGCGGCCACCTCCACCCGTAGCGTCCGGAAGCGCAGCCCGTGGCTGCAGCTGCCCGGACAGGGTGAGTGACGGCGGACTCTCTCGACACCCACTCCACTCCGATCTGGACCCCCTTGCCGCCCCAGCCCCCCACTCTAGGCCCCAGCCTCCCCGATTCTGGCCCTTCTTTCTCACCCCCGCCCCCCAGACACCATTCCAAGTGCTCGAAAATCTGGGGTGTCTGTTTACAGGCTCTCCCCTGGAGCTGGCGTCCACCTCTGGCCCGGATCCCCAGGCTGCAGCCTTGGCGCCGGGTAACAAGCCGCTTTCCTTCAGAAAGCCTCCAGTGTCCAGGTCGGTCCCATCAGTCACCTCCGTCCCCAATGCCACCTCAACGGGGCTGCAGTTTCCGGCAGGCCACAGCGTCCCTACTGCTGGGCCACCCGCTTGCGCTCCGTCCACGACCGTGGGACAGTCAACGAGAGAGCCGAAACCCAACATGGAGCTTCTCCTCCAAGAAATGCAGCTGCTCAAAGGCCTGCTGAGCCGAGTGGTTCTGGAATTAAAAGAGCCGCAGGCCCTGTCAGAGCTCCGAGGAACCCGCGAGACCCCCACTTCCTACTTTGCTGTGAGCCTGGGATCCCAAGAAAGCGCTCCAGAGGAGACCTAAGAGGCAGCCTCGGTCTTCTCTCCAGGACCACTCCTCCCGGGTCTACCCTGTCTCCCCTCAGCCTGCGCTATTTCAGAGCCATTTCTGGTTTTTGTTTTGCTGTGATTATAAAAGAAGCACCCATACAGCATGGTGGCTGACGATCACGACTTCACACCGTAGTTTGTAACCACAAGCATTCACCCTCATGTGTTTCTTCTCCCACAATCCAGCAGGGAAACAGAAAGCTGCTCTTTACAACTTTGAGTATTACAGTTTGGAAGTTAATTCAGTCTTCCTTAGTCATCGTTATATAAACCTGGCAAGCACATATTTCAACATAAATAATTTGTTTTGGCAATTAAAATCATTGAGGTCACTGAGCACTTTAAATTTTAGGGTTAGGTTCTAATTGCTCATAATGAATATATTCTTGTTAATGTTAATATTAATATTAAAAAGACTCTGCCTTATTACTGATGAGTTCACATCTTCTGAGTCCTGGGTTCTATTTAGAGAGGGAAAGGTATCTGTGTAGGCATCCCATACCTGGGCCGCAAGACTCGGGATTAAGTTAGGCTCCTGCACAGGCACCTTGCCTTATGGGGCCAGATGGTGCTCTGGGACCAGCCCACCCTAACCTAGTGAAAAGGAAAGAAGTCTACCATTTGCATTTAGAACTCCCTTTGAGCAAAGTTTAGGACAAATCCTCAACATTACTCAATTATTTTTAGCAACTTCTTTTCTTTTGAAAAAACCATTCATTCACTACCACACACCCACTTGTACATACATACAGACCCATATCTTGGGCTGTGTGGAGACGGTACTGGGAAATGAAGGAAGAAAAGTGAGAGGCCATTTCAATCGCAAGTTGACCTTTGCTCTCTGAAAATTCAATTTCCATGGGTTCTCCATCTCCCTACTGGAGTCCCAGGCTTCCTGCAGGGCTGGTACGATTTTTTCTCAGGTCTCATTATTTTTAAGTCCATACCCTCCCTAAGTTTGACCGTTAAGTGTCAGAACTAATACCTATCCCCTTCCCTCCCTCACTTCTGCTGGACAGATATTCAATCTCCCACACCCCATTTCGCCTCCTTTCCTCTTTCTCTCTCTCTCTCCATTCATCTTTCTGTACTATGGCTCGAATCCAGTGTTTGCACACTGAGTTATATTCCCAGACCTTTTTATCTTTTTCTTTGCTTTGCTTTCTTTTTTTTAGGGACAGGGCCTTGCAGTGCAGTTCTGGTTGGCGTTGAACTCACTATATAGCCCATGTTGGCCTTGAACTCTTGGTTTTTCTCCTGCCTCAGACTCTCAAGGGCTGGGATTACAGATGTGTACTACCACTAAACTGATCTTAATGGATACTTGCTTACTTCTGAGAAGGTGTGTCCAGGTCCCTGTACTAGATACCTGGTTTGCAAGGGTCTTTGTAGCTCTGATTTCCAGCTTTCTAATGCAGACTTATTTGTCAGAATTCTCTTCTCTGTGTCCTTCACTGACTAACTGCCCTCTATGCCAGTGTACAGGCTCTTTCGTCCTTCTGATTTTGTGATTTTTGTCCCCCTGAGGATCCTGCCATCTCCCAGCTAAACAGGAAGTAACTAGCATTAGTGCAGAACTTATACCCTTATCTTTAAAACCAATATATAACCACTATGCAAATCAAATTCCTCAAAAACCCTAAAGCTGGAAATTTCACTTGACCAGCTATTTCCCTTTTACATATCTCCCCCAAAGAAATAAAGATATCATTTTACAGTGAAACATGCATACTCATATTTATGGCAGCACAATTCATAACAGCTAAATCTTGGAAGCAGCCTATATATTCATCAACAGAATGAATAAGGGAAATGAGGTATTTATATGCAATGGAATATTATTCAGCCACAAAGATATATCTGAGTCACTTGTAGGAAAATGGATACACCTTGAGACCATAATGTAAACTTAAATAAATCAGATACACAAGCCTAAATATTGCCTGGTTTCTCTTAGATGAGAAACACAAAGTATAAAAAGAAAAATAAGAGATAAATCACAGGGCATAAGGAAATAGATCTTTCTCAAATGGGAAGAAAATCAAGAGATGAAGAGAGAGGGAAGGGAGGGAAAAGGGATTAAAAAATTAAGATGTGTTATATACATGTATCAATTGCACACAAGGACTCTATCATATACTGGAGGCATGTACTAATAAAATAAAATAATAAAATGAATAAAATAAAGCTTGGTGATACTAGTATCAGACTCACAAAATTGCTAGGATTGAGATTATGTGTAGTATACTAGACACATAATAGCAATACATTTTTACAATTCATTATACAACTTTGCTGAATCACACATAGTGTTAATTGCAGGCTACTCCATTAGAAAGGCACTAAGAGAGGAAAACAATGGCCAAGTAACCACACGGTGTCTTTTAAACTGAATGAGAAATAGACTTAAAAATAGAACATCATTCTGAATTATGTTTCAACAGGGAGAACTGGCTAAAGTATTCATAAAATTCAAAAAAAATTTTTTAGTAGGGAGATTGAATCCAGGATGTTTGTACTGGGCTAAATCCTCAGCTCTCTCTCTTCATTAAATTGCTCTGTCTGGGTTTGAACTTAAGATCCTCTTGCCTCAGGTTCCCAGAACGCAGGGATTACAGGCATAAGCCACCACATCTAACTTCCTAAAACTTTTACATTCAGGATCTGACTTTCCTCTGAGTCAGGGTCTGACTCAGATTTATCCAATGTCCATGTTTTCTCACTTCCATTTTACCTTCTACTCTTTTAAGACTATTTCAGAAAAGAAGCCATAAAAACAAAAGTTATAGCTATTGTTGCCAGATTTTCAAACTGGTTTGACAGTGTCCTAGAGCCTGCTTACTCTTGACTTCTGCTTTAGGAATGTTGCTAAATTCATCCGACCCCCCACCCATTGTTCTGTCCCAAAGCCAAGGGCGGGTTTTGTTGTTGTCTAGAAATCTCTCTCCAGCTGGTTATAGCCATGCTATAAATGTTGATGGTGGTGATTTAGTGTTCATGGATATGTAAGCAGTGAAAACTAAATCAAGACAGTACTTTTCCTGGGTGTGGGATACAAGCCTATAACGCTAACACTCTGGGAGGCTGGGAGCTTGAGGCAGGAGAATCAAAAGTTCAAGCCCTGTTTGGGCATGTAACTCAGTTTGAAGGCCCTGGGTTCAATGCCTAGTACTACCAATAAATAAATAAATAAATAAATAAATAAATAAATAAAGTGAAATGGATAATTACTCAGTTAGAATATCACATATCAGAGAAATGCTTGTGGGAGAAATTCATAACATGTTAAGAAAAAGCATACTACAAGTTAGCATGCTCATAACACTAGTTTTATAAAACAAATAGGCACATTAAAAAATATGAGGATGTCAGGTGTGGTGGTGCACATCTGTGTTCCTAGCACTTGACAGGCTGAGGCAGGAGGATCAACGTGATTTTGAGACCAGCCACGGTTCCATAGTGAGCCAGCCTGAACTACATGGTGAGACCCTGTCTCAAAAAAACCGAACAAACGAAAACAAAACACAACACAGCCTGTAATCCCAGTGCTTGGGAGGCTGAAGCAGAAGGATTGTGGCTATTTTGAGGCCAACTGGGCTACACAGTAAGTTCAAGGTCAGTCTGGGTTACAGAGTGAAACCCTATCTCAAAAAACAGAAGACAAAACAAAACAAAACAAAAATTGTCAAAATACAATACAACACAACACAAAAGGAAGATACATTTTACAGTATTAATAATACGTAGTGTTAGATTTCTGGAAAATGTTTAATTTCATTTTGTATATTACTAAATTTCTCTACAATAATCATGCATTTTTGTCACTAGATTAAAGGAATCAGCCAAGTGACAAATAAATCATATTGTACCAGAAAACAATAACAAAACTAAGCAATTACAAGATGTATTGTAATTGCAGAGATATTCAAACATTGTTAGAAAAAAAAGTTTTGGAATTAATGAACCCTGAGCTCTAGAAAAGCAAATTTTAAAAATGTCTAGAAAGAAAAAGGTATGCATGGTCCTATGTGCAGCCAGAGACTAAAAGTGCACTAGAAGTCCTTAAAATTCTGAAGGGAACTTAAAGACTGCTTAGTTCAACCAAGAAATCATTTCTTGAGTCACTTCTAAATTCCTCTTGCTGGACAGCCACACAACCACATTTCATGAGGATGTGACCCTCATGGCCTCCAGAGATAGCTCTTTCCATCTTTGGACAGTTTTGAGAACTAGAAATGAAATCATGAAGTTGGAACAGAGTTTTAATTATATTTATGAGCATATGTGTGCAATGCACAATGATTATGTCTGCTATGGAGAGTGGTACCTGTACACGACACGTTTTAACTCTTTTCATGTCCCCTTCTCTTCTGCATCCTTAGAATGGAGCTTAACAATTAGGATTTTTAAAACAAAGCTGTTTGTCCACTGCCTCATGGTAAGTGCAGCAACTTCCACCTCCAGCCCCGTGCCATGGAAGTTTCAACAGAACAATGTAATGTTTTTAATTTTCTGGATCTCTAGTGGGCCAAATTTCATGGCATTTGTTCTGCCCCTCCTGTCAATTACCTGTGGGGTACAGGAAGGTAGACTAGTTGCTCACTCAATTTGGCCAAATTATGAACAAATTCCTTTTTCAGTTTTTATTAACTTTTTATTTATTTATTTATTTTTAAAGCCAGTCAAATTTAGCGGGGGTGGGGGGTGGTATACCAACTTTAGTGACACTAATGTTAATAAGTTCTGATAACCCACTGCCATCGGACCAGCCTAGTTTTTATTAACTTTATGTTTCAGTTTTATGAGTTTTATATTTCATGGTGGGCAGAGACCACAGAGCTGGGGCTCAGATTCAGTTTCTGGCTGACTCTCTGGTAACAGAAAATTTTTTCTTACCGTGCCAAGCATGGTGACACGCACCTATAGTCCTAGCCACACGGGAGGCTGACACAGAAGGAGGGCAAAGTTGGGGCTAATCTGGGCAATTTAGCAAGACTCTGTGTCAACTAAAAAGCAAAAAAAAGGCTGGAAATATAGACTGCCCCTGGGTGTGATTATCAGTACTTTTAAAAAATGTTCTTCGTTATTATAGTGAACAAAATGATTTTATTATGACTTCTATTCAATTACTTCCCAGGGCTACACAGAATAATGCCTGGTCCTGCTGACAGTTCTTCAGATATTTAAAGACACTGCTTAGCTCATATTTAGGTTTTCTTAAAGTGTGCCTCCCCATCCTCAGGGTTTTCAACTGCTTTTAACATAGAATCCCTTCCTATCCTGGCTTTTCCAAACATACCCCCAATTGCTCTGTATTTGGCTTAACATGTAAAGCCCACAACTGACTGTAGTTCCTCAGATGAGTGCATTTTAGGAGACGAAGGAAGAAAGGAAGACTTTGTTTTATTTTTTACAGTCAAGCAGTTACACTTGTGACAGGATGTCAAAAGCGATTGTTTCAAGTTATAATTGATGGGAAATTTGAAAGCCAAATCATCGTATGCAGAATTCACAAAGGAAATGGTTGTGAATCTGTTCCTTGACTTTGGACTCTGAGGTTACTTTAGGGAGATTAAAAAAAAGGGGGACCAAGAGATAAAGAGAAGACAAGATCCATTAAGAGATTTATTTGGCACCATTCCCCTCACAATGGGGAAGTAAGGGGAATTTACTACCTCCTTCTCCAGCCCAATGAGGGAAGTGTCCAAGGAGAGAGAAGTCTGCAATGTGTCCTCTACAGTTAGGAGATGGCCTGACTTAGGTCTGAGAAAGCTCTGAGAAGGTGAACTCTGGTTGTGGTGTAGAAGAATCCACTTTGGGATCACCGCACAGCCTATGATACCCTTAAGTCATATCTGCATATGTCATGAAAGATGGGGGACTGGCATGGGGTTGTTCTGTGTCTTCTGTATAAGGCCACCAAGAGGTGCAGCCACAGGCACAAGAAAGCTGCATTAGTGCCTGGATTCCTAGGGGCTGAGGGAAGAGGTGCAAATGTACACCCAGAAAACAGACACATCTGCCTAGAGCACAGTATGACAGAAAAGCTGTTCTCAGAGGGAAAAATTAAACATCTCCAAAAAACCCATAGAAATGTTCATGAGAGAAAGTTTGTAGTAGCTACCAGTCAAGTTCAGAGAGCTGCCAGCCAAGTAAGAGCTTTCTATTCCCTTCCTTTCCCCTCCACTCTCTCCATTTCTACCTGGACTTAGGTGAGGCTGAAAAGAAAATTGATGCTAATGCAAATAAAGGAGGAAAGCAGGGAAGGTAGACAGGGAAGAAAAAGAGAGAGGAAGGAGAGAGGGAGTATTAGTTCACTTCCTTTCTCAGTTGAGGGTCTCATCTGGACACAGGACAGAAACTTAACTAACAGTTCATTAGACTGAAAGTCTAATGAATGCCTAGGACTGGCATTCTAGTATATAAATTGAAACTATGACTGTGGCCCAAAGTCATTACAGGACTCTCCATTACTGATAGAAGTAGAAAAGTCATGGATCTTTGTAAACCTGAATCATGCATGAATCACACAGGACTCTTCTGGTGATTGTGATTTGGTGGGTCTCGGGTGGGGCCTGAGATTCTGTATTTCTAACAAGCATCCAATTCTGCCAATGTTGCTGGTTCTTGGGCCACACTGAGTGGTGAGGTGCTGTGAAAGGGGAATATACTGAATAAATTCTGGATGCACTATGAAAGATAAAAAACTGAATTTAGATCATGCCATGAATTGTGATTTCAACATACCAGTCATGCACTTTCTTTGATTTTTAAAACAGCATTATTAAGAAATAGAATGTTTAGCTGGAAAAAAAGTAATACTTTTGTTCAGTTCTATTCTCCCATCAGTGGGAGCAGATGTAACCCTGTTTAATTATTTGGTGTGGACTTTTTGGAGCCTTTCACAAGAAAGATCTAAGTATAAGGTTATACTGACAAGACTCAGAAAACAGAATCCACTCTTGTTGTGTGGTAAGGAGGAAGGGCTTTGCCACACAGTATTTGACAGCTTACAAAAGGACTGGGAAGCAGGAAGAAACAGACTTCAATCTAAGCTGTCAGCAAAGTCTTCTGATGTCCATCAAGCAAGGTGCTGCTTCTCCCACAATCAGAACCAGTCTGGGCTCATGCAGCTGCTGTCATGATCAGAAAACTTTCATAAGCATAATGCTATTGCTGGGGCACCAAGATGCATTGTCTCTGCTACTGTCCAAGAAACGGATGCTTAGGGCTCTGCTTCTAGAACTATAAAGCTGAGACTGCTTGCCACCAGGGAGAAACAAAAGCTACCTTGTCCAGGTTTCTAGAAGTGACTCAGGCTGCAGAAGTACAGCTGCCACCTGCCATCTGCTGGGCCAGGCCTCTGAGCTGGGCAGATGTCAGCTGCACCCCGCCCCGGGCTACAAGGAAGTCTCAGGCTGTATCACACTCGGTAGCCCAGAAATGTACACGAGAAAATCATGAGTGCATGTTGATACCACTTACATAGACAATAAAGCGGTGAGCTCTAGGGTTTTACTGCTGGAAAGGACCTAGAGAGATAGTCTAACTTGATACTTTACAGAAAAGGACATTGAGATCCAGAGAAGTTAACACTTGTCAACAATGAGGTTGAAACAGCTCAAATCTTTTACATGGAGGTCATGTGTCTAAGGAGATTGCCATTTCCCCAGCAGTCAGGTGTGTACGTATGTAGAGTCTCACTGTGTAGTTCAGGCTATCCTCAAACTCACAGCAATTCTCCTGCCTCAGCCTCTCAAGTGCTGGGATTACAGGTGTGTACCACCATGCCCAGTTTAGAAATCAGGTTGTCCTGAAGAACCCCACTGAGTTTACTGCCTGTAATCCCACATGAGGGTGGGCGCCTTCATGTTTGATACAACTCTTTGCTCCCCAACTTATTGGGAGTTCATGTTGAGGACCAACATGTAGAACCTTGTATTTATCTATTTTTAATTGTGTTTTTGTTAATCTAATAGGACAACCAGTTTTTAAAAGGTGATAAAAGATAATGACACAGATCAGACACACATAAAAGAATGCACACAGGGGCACATACTTGTAATCCCAGTGACTCAGGAGGTGGGGAAGCTCACTGTTGAGTGGCCACATCTAGTGAATGCCTCCTTGCTGGGGTGGGGAGCTGTCTGCAGAGTCCCAGGGCAGTTCACCACGTGGTGAGGCAGGTAGTCAAACTGATCCATGTCACCGATCCATGTCACATCCTTTGGATACAATTGTTTAACAGATTATCAGCCTGCTTCACTGTTCTACTTTCCAGCTCATAATTCCTTCCCATGCCTTCAAGGAGATCTATCTGTAAGAACCTAGGTCAGTGCGTAGTGTGTCAACATTCCCATACTTTGACAGGTCAGTCTCTCTATCAAAAAACAAGCTATTTGGGAGCTGGGTGTGGTGACATAGACCTGTAACCCCAGCACTCAGGAGGCTGAGGCAGGAGGGACATTGTGAATTCAAGGCCAATGTGGGCTGCAGGGTGAATTCAATGCCAGTCTGAACTATAGCGAGACCCTGTCTCATAGAACAAACAAACTAGAGTATCTAGGCAAGACTATGCAAGCTGGGCAAGATGATGAGTAAGAAGCTCATGCTGGCACCTAGTGGACACTGCCGTTTCTCATGAACATTAACCAGTCAGTCCTGCGGTCATCAGCTCCAAGCATCATTTTCACTGGGCACAGTTTCACTGTACAGAAGCGGACGAGACCAATCGTGCAGCACCAAAGTCAGGGCAGAACAGTAGGAGCCTCTTTCCTCAGCAGGGCTGCAACTCTGAGTGGCCATCTGAGGGTGGTGGTGGCAGTGTGACTGAACACGTGGGCCAGGACGGCCTGCGAAATCTCAAAAACAAAACAAAAACCCCTCCCTCCCCTTTTCCTAGAAACATCAGGGATACTTAGTGAAACAATCTCAAGTTTTTTAGCCCTGTCACCTTTGTGCCTTTGTTTCACAGCTCTCCATCTTCTTACGAATCTTTGTATCTCCACCTCTTATTCCTTTTTTATTTTTAACCCAGGGAAAGATCCAACTCAAATGCCACCTCCTCTGAAAATTTTTCCCTGATTCTTCCAGCCAATTCTTTCTTCAGTTGAGCCCTTAAAACATTTTTTTAAAGTATAGTACTGGGAATTGAACCCAGACCCAGGGCCTTCACAACTCAGCTACAGCCCTAACTCTTTTAATTTTTTTTTTATTTTGAGACAAGGTCTTTCTGTGTTGCTGAGTTGTACCAGGCTGGGCTAAACTTGTGATCTTTCTGCCTCAGCTCCTCACAGGGTTGAGATTGTAAGTGTGTGTCACCATGCCCAGCTTGGCACTTTGTTCTGACTGTCAATTTAACACATGCTTTGGCTCGGAATACCGCTCTGTACACTGTGGAAACTTGAGGCTAATTTCATCTTAGTCTGTGCTGTATCTTTGGCACACCCATCACGAACTAAAAAGCTGACGTAAAATCAAGGAAAGTTTCCTTTAAATAGTTTTTAAAAAGAGTCTTCGCTTTTCGATTGTGTAAAAGTGCTTCTATTAAAATTCCATATTTAGGGTTTTTTTTTTAGGCCTTCCTCTTTGTTGGACAAATTTCAAATCCTAGCATCTTGAATGCTTGTTACTGACATCTCTACTTTTAATTCTCATTACTAGATTGGGGAAACTAAGTCATCAGTAGGAAGTGAGTCAGATGGAATGAGAAAGAAAAGCTTTTTGAAAGAGGTTGGCAAGTGAATATGAGGCATACATAGAGGAAGAAGCCAGAGAATATAGCTTTTTGAAGGATTTGGAAATATTCTGAGGGCTGACCAATAGTTTATAGGGTTTCCGATGTGCGTAGTTTAGTATCCTTAGTGAATGTTAGAACAGACATTGTGGGTCTTGTCTCTCTGGATGGGGACACTGAAGTGCTGAGGGTTAGGATGAGGCTTGAGCCAAGGTCATTCAACCAACACACAACAGAACCAATCCTGAGGTCTAGGACTCGCATGTTCAAATCCACAGCTCTTTCCCCTGCAACACACTGGACTATGTGTGCTCCGAGGGGCACAGGGGAAGGGTCCTGTGGCCATTCTCTGCATATTGTGTGCGTGACAAAGCATGAAGAGAAGACAACTCAATAAACAAGATATAGAATGGGGAACATTCGTGGTCTCCTTGGCCCCACTCATCTGACTCCCTGTTTACGTTTCTCCTTGAGCCAAAAAAGGAACCGAGAGCATGACCTCAATATCACTAACCAGTTCCTGCTCCAGCAGTTCTCAGAAGGGCACAGCAGGATGTGATGAGTTTGCAAATGCTAGGGGTGGGGGACTGGAAATCAGGCAGGGAGAAGTGTCAGGACAGATGACCAAGTTGTTCTTTCATAGTGGGGTTCTTTCCATTTTGGCCAGTCATCTCTGGTCCCAGGAGTCTGTGGAGCTGAAGCTACTTCCTCTGAATCCTGAGAATAGGTGCCCTTTCAGGTAAGGATGACACAAAGACACAGACCTCTGTGATAATAAATAGACTTCCAGGTGTGGCTGTGGCAAGATAGATTGTTGAGATCTGTTCACCCCTATTTTTCATGATTGCTGAATTTTTGGACAAGCCGTATGCAGTGATTCATTTCGTTCAACAGCTTTCTCACCAAGGCATCTGCTAACATCTCTCCCAGCCACTCCTACCATAGTTGTAGTTAACTGGCCTGCAACCTTTCTGAACTGCCTCTGGCACAGTAGTGCAGCTGGGGACTCCTTTCTCCCACTAACAAGACACATCAGTAAGCAAATTCTTACTACAACCTCACCCCTGCAATGTGGCTACACTTATTTTGCTCATACTTGGAGGTATCAAATAACTTTGTAAGAACGCAGATCACACATTAGTAAGTACAGGGTCAGAAACAGACTGGAATTTAGACCTAGGTTTTCTCTGGATTCAGATAGTGCCCTTCAAAGATCATGCTAAATCTGAGCTACTCACTTTCCTAGGTACCTGCTTTTCACTTACAAACACATCAAATGATAAAATTATGGTATGATCCCCTCAGGTTTTTGTTCAGCATTGCTCTTTAGGAGTCTCAAAGTACAGTTCGTGTGTATCTTCATTACCATTCAAGATCTTAGGTCCCATTAAGAATAAGATTGTGACTGAGCTTGGTGGTACACATCTGCAATCCTAGTAGTTTGGAAGCTGAAGCAGGAGGATCATGAGTTCAAAGCCAGCCTGGACTACATGCTGAAACCCTGTCTTAAAAAATCAAAGCCAACTAAACACACACGAAAAGTAACATCATTGTGAAAATTGCCTTGGGGGCTGGGGATTTAGTGGTATAAACGCCTGCCTTGCAAGTGCATAGTCTTGAGTTTGATCCCTGGTGCCTGATAAAAAATAGAAAAATAGAAAGAAAAAAAAAAGAAGAAGAAAATTGCCTTTTACTGACACCTTTTGGTTTCAGGAAATAGAAAGAGGAACTTGTCTTCAGATCATGGAAGGGGAGATAATGGGACAAAAGAGGGGAAATCTTTATGCTTAATGTGCAATACAGAAGTACGCTAACAGTAAATATTTTCAGAGGTGATAATTTTAAACTATACATATGACTGTTCTAAATACTAAAATAATTTTGAGAAATAACCTAAGAATGAAAGAGTTGGTTGAAGTGTACTATCATATGATCAACCATGTTGCACAAAATGTGTACCCACTCGGTATGTAAACCATCACACATTTGATCTCTTAGTAATTATAAGAAAAATTCTCTTAATCAGTATTTATCAAGATAGTAGGCTCCAGGATATAAAGTCAATAGTACACAAATGTCAGCTGTATTCCTGTACATCAAAATGAATGCAGATAAGGATGCAGGGGGTACAGGGTTCCCTCCTGCATTGTTGGAACTAGTACACCACTATGGAAATCACTACGCCATATCCTTAGAAGACTAAACACAGAAGCACCGTTTGTCACAGCTATTCTATTCTTGGATGTATTCCTGAAAGAATTAAAACTGCTTAGTACAGTGATACATGCACGCCCATGTTTATAGCAGTGCAATTCACAATAGCCCAGATGTGGAAACAGCCTAGCTGCCTGTCAACAAAAGGATGGATAAAGAAAATGTGGCACATACATATAACAGAATACTACTTAGCCATGAATAACAGTGAAATCATATCATTGGCAGGGAAAATGGATGGAACTAGAAACCATTACATTCAGTAAAGTTAGCCAGAATTGGAAAGTTAAATAACACATGACTTCTCTTGTGAGAAACCTGAAAATGCATATATTAATAAATAAAATGAGAGGAAACCAGGAAGTAGACTTTTGAAGATGGGAAAAGGGAGGTAAAGGGATTAAAATTGATTAAAATATATTAATCACCCATTAACTAACTTCCCCAAATAAATCTCACCATCACGTCATATTAACATGTACTAATAAAAAGTGCTCTCTCAAAAGAAAGACTGTAAGCTCACAGCTGACGAGAAATACAAATTGTAGTGTGTTTGTGTGTATCTATCAATTCAAACACTAGAGTTTCTTCTTACTTTCTTTTCTTAGCTTTTCTGACGACAGCATTTCCTTCCTTGAGCCTAACATCCTGCTTTTCTTCCAGGCTGTGGTATTTTCATTTTTCCACAGTACACCCAATACAGGGAAAGTTTGCAAAAGGGCAAATATCGCCATCTAATGGCTAAAGACACAATTACAGAAGCTGTTAAACACTTTTGCTTGGGGAGGCGAGGAGTAATTCCTAAGGGCTGTCAGCCTTTGTACAGAGCGGATACCCAGATGCACAGCATCTCCTGCCTCCATCCTCGCAGGAGCTTACCATCATTTTAGGGAGTTGGGGAAAGAAGGCTCACTTCCAAAAGAAAACTAATAAAAATAAGGAAATGATCAGAATAATAAAACTGTCAGTAGATGAACACTTAATTTTGTTTTCTCTTCCCACAATGTACTTATTTCCCTAATTATTAACAGTGAATAGCTTTAATAAATAAAAATACACATATAAAGAAGTGTATTATGTCTAATATGCATGCCTCCCTCAAAACAGTTCCCAAAATAATAATCACTGTTACGATATAATGTGTTTTAAATATATATTTAAAACACATTTGAGCTGGCCATGGTGGCACACACCTATAATCCCAGCAGTTAGAAGGCTGAGGCAGAAGGATTGTTGAGAGTTTGAGATCAGCCTGGGCTACAAAGTGAGCTCGAGGCCAGCCTGAACTGCACAGAGAGATCCTGTCTCAAAAAGACAATAAATAAATAAATAAATACGTGAGCTCAGCTATTGTTGCTTTTGTAAAAGTTTTTAAAGCAACTTTATATTATAGGCAGCACAGATCACTTTCTTAATAAGTGTGGTACTTGAAATACCATCATATCGCACTTTTAACCAGTTCTTAATAGTTGGTTAATATTTCATTGAATAGGAAAAGCAACTCTTTCAGCCAATCTATTTTTTTTTCTTCAGCCCTATTATTTTTGCTGCTTCCAGTTTTTTATTATTATAGGCAACTGGTGGTTATCAAGAAACCTTCAAGCTCCTTCAGGCTTACTGATTGACTAGAAGGACTCCAGACTTGAAAAGAGCTGTTTTACAAAGTTATGGTTTATTATAGCAAAAGGACATGTTAAGAGCAGCAAAGGGAAAAGGTGCATGGTAAAGCCCAGGAGAAAGCAGGAACAGGCCACCAGGTCCCCCTTCCCCGAAGGGTCACAGAGAGTGTTGAATGCTCCCACAACGTGTGTGAAGTAGGCCAAACAGGAAGAGTCCCACACCTGGTGCCAGGATTTCTACAGGGGGATCGCGTGACACTGGCATGCATCACCTGCATGACTGCCCTTCACTGCTCAGTCCCCAGCCCAGCACTGCCGGCACACAAAAATACACCTTTACTGTAAGTCACGTCATTAGCATGAACCATCCAGTCAAACTGATACTGCCTGGTTTGGTCCAGTGCTTCAGCGCACAGAAACCGGCCTTCACCACTAGTCATTAGCATAAACTATGTAGTCAAACAGCCACAGTGTGAGCCAGGAGCTGGCGCAGGGCCAGTCCCCCTGGACACGGGCCTCTCTTGGGAAGGTGCAGACGTGAGCAACAGGTGCTGGCAGAGCTGACCTTTGCCTGCACAGGTGCCTTGTGTCTGATGACACTGCCCGGGCCCTCAGCTGCCCAGTCTCACACATGTCAGCTTCCCCAATCTTCTAGCCTCACTCTGCACATAGAAACTAGGTATTTCTTTTACTCAGAAAACAGACACCAGCATAAAGCAATGTGTTTAACTTCTCAACACCAAACCCCTGAGCTTCCCAGCAGCCCTGCCTGTTCTTTCTCCCCTTTCTTTGGTTACCATGGAGAAGGCTGCTCCGGACCACATCTCTGCCCCAGTTTATGCAAGGACTCCTGGGCCTGGGCTGGGGTTGCTGTGGGAGAGCATGTGCCTAGCATGTGAGAGGCCCTGGGTTTGAATTCTCAGCACTGGAAAAAAAGTTAAAAAAAAATTCCTGTTCTCTTGTATCTGTAAATTCTCCCCCCTCCCTGTCCCCTTTAGTACTTCACTGGCACTTTATTTTGTGTTTTTGAGACAAGATCTCACTATATAGCTTAAGCTAGCCTTGAACTCAAGATCCAACAGCCTCAGCTTCGCAAGTGCTGGGAATACAGGTATAAGCCATGTCTGGCCTCATTGTTTTTCATGTTAGTATTTTTATCTACATCTATTTTTAAGGAAGAAACACCTCCCTCAACTTCATTTCTCTTTCCTTCTTGAAAGTCGAGTCCACACTGGCTCTTTTTTTTTTTTGGTTTGCACTCCTCCCTGTCCCCACCAATCAGGCTCCCTTTCCCCAACCTACATCCAACAACCTCACTGAAACTACTTCACTCAGGATGTTTAGACCTTGCAATTAAGCCTAATGGCAGCTTTTAGTTCTCACTTTACAAGTTGTATGACTTAACCTTCGCTTCCTGAGATATCAGTTTTTCTTACTGTCTCTTTGGCTATGCGGTAGTTTCCTGTTTTGTTTGTTTGTTTTTTTGAGACAGGGTCTCACTATGTAGACCCTCTTGCCTCAACCTGAGTGCTGGGATTACAGGTGTGTGCCACCACTCTTCAGCTTCTTGTAGGTTCCTTTTACATACTTGTCCCTTAACTCTTATTTTTCTCCAGCAACCTCTTCATCCCTTTTGCATTTTATACTCTCATCCCTGACAATCCCATCAATCCTAGTCTATTTATAAATGTCACCAGCTTGGCTGTGTGGTCCCCAAGGCAGAAATAAAGAACTTAACTCACCTTTTAAAAATAAGTTTACAGATTCGCTGACCCTCATTGTAGAAAAAGAAATTTCAGGACGTATCAGCAAAAGAGATGCAAATAGAAAAAGTATTTGTCATCCAGCAAAAGTAGAAAGCAGCCTTTATTTTAAAGCAAAAGCAATCAGCTCCCAGAGGCCCCACAAAGAGTTGTCCAAAAGAGAATCTGAGTTTAGGGTTTGTGTACTAAAAAAAAAAATGACTACATTACTAACATTATCCATAGACAGTCTTTTGAGGAGTAAGGGTATCTTGCTCCTAAGCAAGAAAATTCTCTCAGCCTCACGAGCCCTTTGGGCATTGAGCCTGGCTGTGGTCATTTAGCCAGGTATATGACTCCCACTGGATCTTCCTGGATCCTTCTTTGGCTTGGCTTTCTTCTGGACACCTGTCCCCCTGCTCACAGACTCCACGCACACACAAACTGCCACACTCCAAATCTTACTTCCTCAATCAAGTCAGTATGGCTTAGGCAACTTTAGCTACATCCTGGAAGTTGCAATCTTCCTACAAAGTATAGTTGTTAGTTAAGAAATTCTTGTTTCCTTTCTACCTTTTATTTCTGCTATTATACCTCAAAACCACTGGACATCTTTTCTAAGTATCACAGCTCAGTATCTAACCAGCCAATGGTTGCCCTTACTTAGGAGTCAGCATGTTCAAAAATGTGTTTGCTTTTCTTCACACTGACCTTCCTCTGTTATTTCCTGTGCTGTGATTCACTCACTGTCATCTGCGTAATCACCCAAAGCACAGTCATTTTTCATTTTTCTCTCTTTCATCTCCCATATCTATTTGGCCTCAACATTTCTGTTCCGCTTCATAATAGTTTTTTCCTTTCTTTTTGTTTCCTCTGCGGGTTCCCTAGGTCTTGTCATGCAGGACTCAGTAACTGTTCCAGTCTTATACCTGGACCCTGTCTCCAAAACTGTCCTCTTCAATCTATCCCCGACACACTGTGGTTGGGGATATTTTTAAAAAAGCAAGCCAAGTACAGTGTGTAATTCTGCCATTTTAACTTTTGTAGTTATTCACAAAGTCTTTAAGAAAAAGGTAAAACTTCTTAACGGAACATCATGTTGCCCTCATGACCTGGCCATGTCTAGATCTCTAGTGTCCTGTGAACTACTGGGAATAACATGTGTATTTCCTGCTTCCTCTCTAACAATGCACTGACCTTTTGGTAGGGCTTTGTGGTCTTTGCAGATAGATGCTGGTCTTTCTGCTTAGAGCTTCTTTTCTCCTCTCCCTCCTTTTTGCCAGACAACTTCTGATTCACCTTCAAGATATAAATCAAGCAGCACCTCCTCTGGAAAGCAATTGTTGATTACCCTCTTGCATTACAGAGGAACCCTAGTGTGTTCCTCACCTATCGTGCTCTTACCTCTTGTTTCATTTTATTTATTTAGGCTTTTTGAGACAGTGTATCACTACGTAGTTCAGGCAGGCCTTGAACTTATTTTTGTAGCCCAAAGTGGGCTGCAACTCAAAGTGATCCTCCAGTTTTGGCCTCCTGATTGCAGGGATTATAGGCATGTGCAACCACGCCCAGCCTACCTCCTTCCCTGTTTTAGTCTAGGAACTATATATTTTTTAAATCTTTAATTCATTTTGAACTTTTAAAAAAAATTTGGTAAAAGACAAAAGTCCAACTTTATTCTGCATGTGAGTCTCGGATTTTCCAATCACTGTTTGGAGACTGCCCCCTCCCCTACAGTGTGGTCTCCGCAGCCTTGCTAAAGATCACTTCACCAGTTACGTGTGAAATTATATTTCTTAGGCTCTTGTATTTTATTCTTTTGGTGTGCCCCTGCCTTTACGCCAGTACCATAACTCTTAACTTGTGACCAATTACGAATTTAATACTCTCTAGCCTGCCCTCCCTGTAGAAAAGATTAAATACTGAATCACAGAATGAATCCCCCTTCCTGACCAGCGTCCAATTTACACCAAAGTCCGGCTTCTTTACACCCTATCCCAAAACACCTAGCTAAAACCCAAGTTCTTTAACAGGCCCTTCCCTGCACCTCTAAGAGGCTCTAAAATTCTCCATAGCTCATGGCTGAATAATAAAACCAACTCGTTTAACTCCATTCCGATGGTGCTCCTTAACTGGAGGGCAATGACAAAAACAGGAGCCTGGTACTCAGCGTACATAGAACAGCAAGCAGTAAGAAAAGGATTTACATCCCAGTAACAAATGTGGGGAGGACAAGTCATGAGGAAAATATAAACGGTTTCTTATGCACTGAAAGGATGCTTTGCTTCAAATGCATGAAATGATTTGGCTGCTTTCAAATTTGCAGTTGCTCTTGTTTCCTTTAAAAAGCCTGATAATCCATATATTTGGGGAAGTTTACCTGTTATCACTAAGCCAGGCCGCTCTGAACCGGCTCAGCGTATCTTCCCACTAAGTTCACATTCACGTGGTCGACGTGGTCCTCCAAGCCACCGAGGTGGGCGGGCGCAGGGAAAGGACGTTCTAGCCAGCCGCCCACGGCGGAGGGACGTTCTAGCCAGCGGCTCACTCGGTGGAAGTCCCGTGGCAGCCTGGCGGCTGGGAGCCGCCATGTTGGAGGTGCAGGGCCCCCACCATGGCTGCGAGAACCCGAACCCCAACGCGGACCCGGCCAGCTCCACCGAGCGAATGCTGGAAGTGCGGCCGGGGCTGTACCTGGGTGGGGCGGCGGCCGTCGCAGATCCGGATCAGCTGAGGGAGGCTGGCATCACCGCCGTGCTGACGGTGGACTCCGAACCTGCTTTCCAGGCAAAGGCTGGGTTCGAGGGCTTGCGGACCCTGTTCGTGCCGGCTCTGGATAGACCCGAGACCGACCTGCTCAGCCACCTGGATCGGTGCGTGGCCTTCATCGGCCAGGCCCGTACAGAGGGCCGTGCGGTGCTGGTGCACTGGTGAGCGCCGGGTCTGGGTGCGAGGTGCCCCCTTCGCTAGCAGCCTTAGCTGCGTGTTCCTTTGCCCTGCGGCCTCGAGTGTCCCAAGGAGGGACGGAGCCTGGAGGCGGGCCTCTGCTTTCTTTCATTAGTGTTTTGGTTGGTCATTCTGTTGCAAATGGTTGGTTCTTGCGGGGCGTGGAAGGCCAGGAGATAAAGGACAAGGTCTCTGCGCCCTAAGTAGTATACAGCTCTTTAGGAGAAGCCAAAAGACTTCTTCAACCACCCAAAAGACTGTGTTGCAGGTTAGATATGTAGGAATGGAAAGATGTGACACCTTTCCTGTAACACCTGTGACAGGTTAATAAGAGAAGAGCGTAACAGATTGGATTAATCCAAGTTTTACATGACACGGCAACCTCCAGAAATGAAGACCCAAAGACTCAGGGAAAACTGACTTTAAGAATGGACAGATGTGTAGAACTGTGGTTGGAGAAAAGGAGTAGGACCTGATGGAATGGACGGAGAGAGGAAACCTAGAAGGCCTGTCCATTCGGGTTCTTTTTGGCTTGTGTGGCATTCCTTCCTCCCAGGTGCAGTGTAGGGGCCCTTACGGAGCGAGGGTCTTAGCATCTATCAGACAGGATATATGAAACAGTTCTTTTATAGACAACCCTTAAGACAGAAAGGTGAAGGAAGGATGGAATTGTATTTCTAGATTTTATGATTGGTCTTGGAGGAGAAGGATTCTAGTTTTTTTGACTTGTCTTGAGAGAGAAAGGAAGCAGGACAACAGGTGAGAAGAAAAGATGCAAGCGACTCTACATGGAAGCAGACACAAAGTATAATCACCCTGTAAGCACTACATGACTTAAAAATTTACATAATCCTTGTAGGGAAAAGGGAAAATGGGGAATGTAAAAAAATTTTAAGGGAATAATAAATGATTTTTAGGGGAATTCATTGGGCTTGAGGAAACACAGTGGCCTGGGATAAAATCTACTGGATTCGAGGAATAGATAGTAAATTGTAAATGATCCTCTTTAGACTACTGAATAGGACCAAATAGATGACAGGGTGTGTGCAGAAATCTGTCAGCACATTCTGACTGACACTCCATAACCTGTGTGTGTTGACAGACTTGTCTTTCTGCTTGGTGTGTGAGTTTAGCTAATGAAAACTCAGGAAAGAGATCAGAGTGATTGTTTTCTTCTTTGGTGGGGCTAAACTTTAGGCACTAGAGTAAAGCCTCTTCTAGCATGTGCTACAAGTTCATTTAATTGAAAATAATCAGCATACCGAATTTGGAGGTCATAGCTCTTGGATTCCTTCAGTACTGTAGTGGTCCCTCACTGGTGGCCAAAAGGATTATATCCCTTAAGAGCTGATTGAGTGCCTCCTATATTAAAGCTGTCCAACAACAAAAGAACTCCAGTTAAAGACTGACATCCCACCTTCAGTAGGTGGTTATAAAATAGGAACAACTTTTGATGTGAAGCTTGTTTTCTAAAAGATGTATAGACTTTCCTATCCAAACCTGAAGGCCTGAATAAATGGTATTGCCAATATTGCAACTCAGTGCATGTACTCCTGAAAGATTTGTAGGTTGCTGGATGATGGAGAAAAAGACATTCTTTGGATACAGTAATTTGCTGCTTAGACTCTTCTCCAACTCTTACAAAGGCCCCAATCTCACTTTGACTGTGAGATTTGTCTCTTGGGTTACTCCTACTATATTATTTGGCAGTACATTCTGGCTAAAATAAACTCCTTTATTTTGGGGGGTTTTTATTTTTTGAGACGGGGTCTCACTATGTAGCACAGACTGGGATTACAGGCATGTGCCCTCATGCCCAGCTACTCTTGTTTTTCTACATTGCTTGTCTAGTGATAAAACTTTCTGCCGTCCTCCTTACTGTCTGTCTATAGGCTGTCTCTTGGCAAGTACTAAGAGAGATTAACAAAGGTTAAGGTTATAGAGCTTGAATATTAAGAGCAGGTTAATTTTAGTTACCGTATATCAGCACTTGTTCTAAATATTTACATGAAGTAGAGAAGGCAGTAATCAAGTCAAAAGAAATCTGGTATTATATCCAAAGGAGACCTCGATACTAAGAGCAAAAGAACTTGGAATTGTTCTGGAGCCAATAGAAAAATTTTAAAAATTAGTGTAATTAGTTTTGAGTGGGTAGTTCACTTGATACAGGGAAAATAATATAACTCCCAACCTTCTAGAAAGCAGATATGCTGAGTTCATGTTCTGCAAAATCAAGGAATGAATTCTAAGGAATAACAGGTTAAGAGCAGGAAAAATTTATTGAAAGAGAACTCCTGAGAGACAAGAGGGGACCTAAAAGTGGGTTGCCATTGAGCCTGTTTCTCTGTAAGTACTGCTTGCTAGCTGATTGTGCCACTGGAGTGTCCAAGCCTGTTTCTATTTTTTTTTTTTTTTTTGGTACTGGGAATTGAACTCCTGACCTCATGCTTGCCAGGTAGGTGCTTATGCCACTCAGCTAAGTCCCCGGCCCTCAAGCCTGTTTCTTAAAGGAAATTTTACAGAGCAAAATCATGAGGTTGGTACAGCATGGTGTAAAACTGTGATCAACCAATAAGAATACAAGTATATGCAGTATTGGGTAATACTGATCCAATGGGAAGCAGGTCATGTAGCAAGTATATCTGGAAAGAACAAAGATCTTTAGGAAGGAGTAGATCAAGAAGTCCTGGTCATCCATCAGAGTGACTAGTATCTAGACTTTACTGGAGCAGGTGATACCAATTATCTTATCCCTGGGGAAATGTGTAGGCTTGTTCATTCCATCTTTATCTTGGGGCTTGGCCTCCAACAGATACACATTTAGCTGCAGTTGTAATGTGTTCCCATTTTCTGCACTGACTTACCTGAGGGTCCAGCCCTGTGTGACAGCCTGTAGTATTTTTACCTAACTTAGCTGTCTATAATATACTTGTATGCCTCAGAATTTAAAAGAAGGAAATAAAGGATCAATTCTTTTGCACTCTGGTAATATTTCAGAGACAGTAGGATTGAGTAGTAGAGATGAAGTAGACCTGAATTTACCATTAATAGCTGGGTTTTGTTTTTTTTTTAATTGTTGCTATTTGCTATTTTATTTTGAAGGTCTCTTTTTCAGTCATGCAGGGGTCAGTCGAAGTGTTGCTATTGTGACTGCTTTTGTGATGAAGACTGACCAAATGACTTTTGAAAAAGCGTATGAGATCCTTCAGACTCTCAAGCCAGAGGCTAAGTGAGTACTTTGTTACAGTAATGATTTTGCTTGAGTCATGTGATTTTTATTTAAAGAAAACTGAACTTTATGTTTTGTTATTATAGGATGAATGAGGGATTTGAGTGGCAACTGCAATTATACGAGGCAATGGGGTATGAAGTGGACACATCTAGTGCAATTTATAAGCAATATCGTTTACAGAAGGTTACAGAGAAGTATCCAGGTTAGAATTATAGTTGTTAGTATGTCCTGGACTTCTTCTAGATGTCACTTATTAACACTAAATGCATTATTTCACTTTTCCCATAACTGCCTGAGACATGTACAGTGGTCTGTTTCTATCTCTTTCTCTGTTTCTTTTTGTGTGTCACTGTGAATTAAACTCAGCTCTACCATTGAGCTGCATCCTTAGTCTTTTTTATTTTGAGATAAGGTCTATATAAGTTGCCAGGCTGGCCTTAAATTTAAGATTATCCTGCCTCAGCTTCCCATATATTGTGATTTCCGTTTGAAACTGTGGTTTAGCCAAATGTAATTTACTCAAGGTCACATGGTTTATAAATGACTTTGAATTTAGGCAGCTTGGCCCAAAACCCAAGATTTACTCATTCTGCTCTCCTACCTCATCCTGATTTCTTAGCATGGAGTTTTCACTTTCAATTTTTTAAAATTTCTGACTTTAGCTCTTGTTTCTTCAATTTGACATTATTTGAATTTTATCTGAAAATGTAGAACGGTGATTTTGAAAAATAGTTACATATTAATTGTATCCTATAGAATTGCAGAATTTACCTCAAGAACTCTTTGCTATTGACCCAACCACCATTTCACAAGGAGTGAAAGATGAAGTTCTCTACAAATGCAGAAAGTGCAGGTAAAATATTTTGTGTCTTCTGGAGTTTTTTGTCTTGTCTCAGTAACTGAAAAATACTTGAAATTTTATTTTGTTATATCTTTGTAGGAAGAATTTGTTTACTTGGATAATGTAGAAATTTCTAATTTAAATCTGCTTTTAAGAAAAAGTAAAAGTAACTGAGTGTGGTGGTATACACTTGTAATCATTGCACTGTGGAAGTCTGAGGCAGGAAGATTCCAAATTTGAGCCCAGCCTAGGTAACTTAAATGATTTAGACTCCATCTCACAATTTAAAAAGGGCAGGGATATAGCTCACTGTATAGGCCCTGGGTTCATCTCTAGTAAGGCCAAAAAACTAAAACAAGTAAGCAGGGTGTAACTTAAGTAGCATAGTTGACATTATATTATTTGGTCTCTAAGAAATATTGCACATTCCATCTGTTTTTTCCATCCTTTTGAAACTCATTAATATTTTTGTTGTTTGTG